AGGACATTGCTGTTAGGTTGGAGGACATTGCTATTGGGTTGGAGGACCTTGCTTTTAGGTTGGAGGACATTGCTGTTAGGTTGGAGGACATTGTTTTTAGGTTGGAGGACATTGCTTTAGGTTGGATGCCGTTGCTATTAGGTTGGAGGCCATTGCTGTTAGGTTGGAGGCCATTGCTGTCAGGGTGGAGGACATTGCTGTTAGGTTGGAGGCCATTGCTGTTAGGTTGGTGGCCATTGCTATTAGGTTGGAGGACATTGTTTTTAGGTTGGAGGACATTGCTTTAGGTTGGAGGCCATTGCTGTCAGGGTGGAGGACATTGCTGTTAGGTTGGAGGCCATTGCTGTTAGGTTGGAGGCCATTGTTTTTAGGTTGGAGGACATTGCTGTTAGGTTGGAGGTCATTGCTTTTAGGTTGGAGACCATCACCCTTTTTCTGTGTTAAATCTAGCAGGTTCCTGACAACTTCAACAAAAACCTTGTTCTTACGTTTCTGCGTGGGACCAAATTCACTTGCTTTGACGTTAAGTGTCTCTAAAAATCTAGGAGCCAAATGAATAGCGCAAGCGCTTTTTGAAGAAGCGTGAGCTATCCTGCTTCCAGTAGGTAGTAGCGTAGTAGTAAGCTACTAGCTACCTACCTAGCTACTTTTTTTCTACTGGCCAAAAATCAAACCGATTCTCTCACGTTCGACAAGCTTCTTCATGCGACGTTTGCAGCCTTGGCTTCTTCGATGGTCTCCAACATCTTGCTCAAAAAGCGGGCACCGGTCTTCGCCCAGCAGGGCTGTGCAAAGGAGCCTTCTGTGAAATCCTGGCGAAAGACAAGTTCAGAAAGTGGTACCAAGGGAAGGAAAACACAAGGGGAAAGACAAGAAAGAGAAATGACAGGTCTATTTGCATAAAGGAACAAACCCTCGACTTTCCGGCTCAAGAACTTTCTCGCGAACAAAGCATACATGCTTCACAACATCCACTTCTTGAAAACAGCACTCCCACATGATATCTCGCAATCTTCAAGGAAAGCTTTAAGCCAGGATGTTCTGCACATAAACCCTTCTGTCCCTCTGCATGTCAACAATTACCAGGGCCGTGTGCTCCGTAAATAGAGGAAGCCTCATCAGGACATCGCAATTCATTCTGCATGGTAGGCTAAGTTTCCCTAAAATCCAGGAACCACATGAGTTCAAGCGCTTCTTCAAGGTAGCTTCCTATTGCTCCTGCTTACTTTCCTACTCCAGCGACCTCTAGCGGCCACTACCCTATTTTTGGAACTAGTAGCTTCTTGTTACTAGTAGTAAGGCCAGGAGCCCCTAGTGGCGTCTTGTTACTACACCCTTGGGCAGAAACAAGAACTATGAACTTATCGGCCAAGCACCCATCGACAGGAGCAGCTTCTGCAGCAATGAAGTCATCATACTCTGTGCGGTCGCAGCAACCCTCCAAAAAGGCCTCCCAGCATCCATGACTTGATTTCTTTCAAATTGTCCGCGCCAAGTTCTTTTGTTCAGAATACTAAATAACAAGGTCAAAGCTATTAGTAACAAGTTCCACGCTAGTAGTAACAAGTGCCACGCTAGTAGTAACAAGTGCCTTACTAGTAGTAACAAGAAGCTATTAGTTAATTTAAAATTACTCAAAGCTTTGCCAAATCCGAACTTTTCCACCTTTGATCTTGTAAAAAGACCACATACACCATGTCTTGTCCTGATCTGCTAGAACTGCTCCAATGCGCGCACCGGGATCCTAGAGATGCAAATTGGAGCAAGCACAAATCTTGATCAGATTTGACGCTAGTAGTAACAGGTGCATCGCTAGTAGTAACAAGTGCCTTACTAGTAGTAACAAAGAAGCTAGTAGAAAACAGTGCCTTACTACTAGGAACAAGGACGCTACTAGGGGCTCCTGGCCTGACGCTACTAGGAGCAAGGACGCTACTAGTCGGCTCATCGGCTTATCTTCTTTCAGTCATTCTCTTCTACTTGAGCGGCTCGGTGAAAAGCATTTGAGTCTCCTCAACGCCTGCGATCTCCTTCAGTTTGGACATCACAAAGCTTGCGCAAGGGCCCTCGACCTTCATGAAGCTTTCAAGTCGAACAAGCACCGAAGCTTTTCCTTCTGACAAACGGGAGATACCCCACAAGCATGAATTCGTTTGCAAGACCATCCAAAAACATACGATTCTCTCACCGACCCCAGTTGGGGACATTTCTTCCTTCCTCACCCATTCTCCGTTTCATTTTCCATTTACATCTTTAGACCTTTCTTGCTGTGTTCTTTTTCTTCAGACCTTTCCTTTCTTCTTTAGACTTCCTTTTTTGATTTCATGTTTTCTTCTTTGCTTTCGCCAGAATCCCAATGCAACTCCCTTTGGGGCATGACTGCGGAAAACATCTTCAATCACCGCGAGGGGAAGACTTCGTCATTTTGGCTCAATTGACCATTGGCCTCCTCGGCATTCAATTCCAGCGAAAACCTCAACGTCGAACAGCTGTCTACTTGATGAGCGATGATGACCGCACAAAGGTGCATTTGGATATTTGCACAACATCCTCCAAAAGACAAACATTGAGACTGTCCAAATTCAGAAATGTTTCTTTTCACACAACCGGCCTTGTCTCATCACGCAAAGCCCAACTGAGAAAGCAGGAAAGAGACACCTTCGCACCACATGGTTGCTCAAGACACAAGAAGGAACCTAACAGCAATGGCCTCCATCCCAAGAGTGATGGCCTCCAACCTGATAGGAATGGCCTCCAACCTAGTAGCGATGACAAGCGTTTGATGCCCCAGTGCCCCGGACTGACTCAGAGGCACCTGAAACAGGCAAGCACTCCTCGCCATGGAAGATATGGAGAACCACTGTACAAACTGTTTGAAAAGTTGCTGCGGACATCACAAACACACGAAGTTTGGGCAACATTGCTGGAGTCTTGCAAACAGCAGTCTGCAACAAGAGCAATCTGCGTGGGAGCATTTCTTAAAAGCGCGGAATCGCAATCTTCATTGCTTCCATGGGGTAGAGAACTTCAGTTCGAACGATGTACTTCACCTAAGTATCACACAACGGACACAAACACAAAACTGCAAAACACTGTAAGAAGTCAACCCAATAGGAATGGCCTCCAACCCACTAGCGATGGCCTCCACCCTAATATCAATAGCTTAGGACTGCATTTACAACAAAAAACGGCCCAACATCCAAGCTGCTCCAGAATGAATTTCAGCACCCTCGTGTAGTGGCGAGTCTGGATGGTACCCGTGTGGGAAGCACCTGGACAAGTCTCTCAGGCTGAATGCGACAAAACCGACACGTTTGTTGCTTTCTTGTGGGCCACTAAGCGGAAGAGGTAAGCTAGTAGATGCTAGTAGCTATTATTAAGTAGGATGCTACTAGCCACCGAAGCAGGATTGTTCACGTTTTGCTCCCCCCGCCACCATACAGGCGGTGGGGGCAGCTTCCTTGAAGAAGCGCTCGCACTATTCATTTAACCATCACAGCTTGGCGATCTCCCAAAACCAACCTACTGACCCCAAATTTCTCCAATCCAGGAGCTTCCACATCAAATTCCACGAACCTGTGAACCAGATTCCAACGCAAGGTGTCTCGACAGCGCGTGCCAACAAAGCCGGATTCGCACACATCCACCATCCAAATTTGGTGTTTGTCGTTTTATGCGTTCGAAGTCAACCACCTAGCGTTCAGGGTGACGCTGTTACATTTTGCCATACTTGTAACAAGAAGCTATTAGAAACAAGCCACGCTAGTAGTAACAGGTGCCTTACTGGTAGAAACAAAGAAGCTAGTAGGAACAAGTGCCACGCTATTAGTAACAAGTGCCAC